CTGCTGAGTTTATCTACGAGGAAGAACGTTATCAAGTTCGCGGGTAAATCCATTAACGCGTTGAACGCCGCGCTAAGGTAAACGTTGAAGTTTAGATTCGATAAAGCTAATGGCATTCCGTAGTAGACCAATCCAATGCCAAATGCTACCGCCATTACCGCCGATAATCTCCTTAACGCCCATCTCTTCTGCACAAGAATCTTCACCGCTGCGTATATGTTGACGTTAGGGCCTTCTGGTTCTTGCTCGAACGGTAAGCTCGAGAAGCTGACATTGACACGACCGCCATTGTTGTTGTCGGTCGGAGAGGCGATGCTTTGGAGGATTGAAACGGCTTCTTCTTTACGACCCTTCACGAGAAGCCACCTCGGAGACTCGCGTACGAAGATTCGGACCAAAACAGAGTAAATTATGGTCGGAATCGATGTCCAGAGGTAAAGATTCCTCCATGAATTTCCCTGGTTTATGAAAGCCATTATCGGGAGCGACAAAAACCCCAACATGAATCCGAAGAAACTCATAATCCCAATTCTTCCTCGCCATTTATTCCCGACCAATTCCGTCGATAACACAAGAGCACAAGTCCCGATCGTTGCACGACCAAAACCATTCACAAATCTCATGACGGCGTAAACCCAGATGTTGGTAGAGAAAGCTGTTAACATAGAAGACAGAGACATCACGAGACATGACATGAACAGCATGTTTTTCCGACCGAGAGACGAATCAGCTAGTGTCGACAAAATCAGACCGCCGATTAGACATCCGACGAAGAACGACGACGCGGGCAAGCCCACGACGAACGATCCTGCACACTGTAGGCCCCATTCCGATATAATCGAGACGGTCGGAGAAAAATCCCAGGACCAGGCGTCGCCAGGGAGGCTGCAGACGTCGGCAGCGGTAGGTGAGTTGCAGAACGAGTCGATTCGGTGGGACTCGGTACAGTGCCACTTCGGTTCTGAGTCGGTGAAGACGGTGATGAAGGTTTGTTGGGCATCGAAGACGCCGGAGAAGGAGACTAGAGCGGCCTGAAAGAACTGAGTATCAGACGATGCTCTCTCATGGTTCTGCAATTCATCTCCTTGAAGCTTCTGTTACAGGCTCTGTCTTCACTTTACAGCTGGATTGGTTTATTCTTTGATTGGTTTAGGTTTTACTTTTTCGGTTTAGCTTTTTCGGTTCAATATCAGATAGGTTTGTTGCTTTTTAGGTCTGTACACTTGTATAAATATTCCCTTACAGTATCAATGAGAATCAGAGAGAAACCATTTGGAAACCTTCTTGTTTCTGCAATCCCGATAATTTGTCACTGAGCCCAGCTGAAGTTTCCAATACACCGCTCGATTTTGTCGTCGAGGGTTATTGGCGGCGGTTGCCGGAGCTGTGACTCGGGAAAGTTCGAACCGGGAAGAAGCTGCCGAGTTGACTCGGCCATATGGAGTGGCCCTGTGTTTTGTTCTCTCATGCAACAGCTTTGTGAGGTTCAGAAGGCGAGACTTGCGGCATCGGGTTTATGAAGGTACGACCCTTGAAATTTGATGTATATTGTATAGTCCCATGAGTTCACATGTTTCAAAAATAAAACTAAATCAAAATATTTAATTAGGTATCATTTGTTCACATTTAATTCTGTTTTCATATTCAACAACTTCCAAAGGAAGCAACTTTTTTTTTCTCACGTTTATCAATGATTTTAGAGCATATATATATTTTTTTTCCAAATATAATTATTATTACGAAAGATATCAATAAAACCCTGTTAACTTTTTAAAAATATCCCTTTAAAATTCGACTGTATATAAATCCAAATAAATTTTGAATCTTTAAAAATACCCAAAAATTCTTAACTTTTAAAAATATTATAATTTTTATTAAATTATTATGTGATAAATATACTACATTACGAATAGATTATAATATAATAAAATAACATATGATTATCCATATATATATGTTGAGATATTAAATGATTAGTTAATAAAATTATAGTTAACAATCCAAATGGATTAGTTTTTAAAATAAATTGATAATATACAACTATCTGTAAATCCATAAATCTTTATGTGTAAAAATATAAAAATAGAATATTTATCATTTCGCCATTTCAATCTTTCAGTTGATAAAAATATATTTAAGATACCAAATTATTATTATTATTTTGGATTTAATTGAAAATATATAAATTGATAAAATTTTTATAATTATTAGCTAATTTTATTTTTTATTTGAATTTTTGGACAAATAAGGTTTTAAATGGATGTTTTTAGTAGGTAAGAGCTTTTTTTTATGTTTTTTTTAAATTGAATATTTATTTGGATTTATGGATAGTTGATATTTTAAATAGATTTTTTGGAATGTTGATGTGCTTTTTTGTTATTATTATTATTATTATTATTATTATTATTTAATCTATTATGAAGGTAAAAAATATCTTTCAAATGTATGGTCATAAATATTTGTGAAAAGTATACAGAAAAAACGAATTCGGGAACAAACAATAAAGTGAAAGTAAAAAAAGCTAAAAACTTTCTTGACTTAGTAGGTTAGAAGATCATGTATTTTTTTTTTTAAAATTCACGTGATATAGAGAACTTAGAGTCCACTAGGGATGGACACGGGTTCGAATACCCCAATTTTTAGAAAAAACTATCACCACTAATTTTATAAAAATATTATCTCATTCTTACCTTCCTAAAATCCGATTACTTGTAATTCGAGTTTAATGAGATTCTCGCTCTTATACTCACGGATATCCAAACTCATATTACAACTTATAAAATTTTGAATTATGAAATGATAGAGATAGAGAGTACAAATGAAATGGATCAAAGTATAAAAAGGAAAGTTTACGATGAAGAGAGATTGAACCACACCATACTGGGAGAGAATCGGCTGTGATACCATTTGGGTTTTTGAGTGATTCGTGCAAAATTGATGTTTGATTCGTGCTCAACATGAGATTTTATAAGTTTTAGTGTATTATCCATAGTGAATCGTGCATATTTGAATGTCTTTTTATGAACTTAAATACTTTTATTTAGTTAATTTTTTTTTATCTTCTAAACTTTTTTATCTAAAAATTTCACCATTTCAAATCCTATTTTACCATTTCTTTCTTTCTTTCTTTCTTCTATGCAACTGAATCAATCATTCATCTCTCTCAAACTTTCGCTCGACAATGGGCGGCTCCTGACGAGTTTCTGGGTAGAGATACAGGGATGAATCTGACGCGCGTAATCCGGAGTTTTATTCTCATGGAATCAGGGAAAGCAGTATATATATATATATATATATGTATATATATATATATATATATATATATACTGCTTTCCCTGATTCCATGAGAATAAAACTCCGGATTACGCGCGTCAGATTCATCCCTGTATCTCTACCCAGAAACTCGTCAGGAGCCGCCCATTGTCGAGCGAAAGTTTGAGAGAGATGAATGATTGATTCAGTTGCATAGAAGAAAGAAAGAAAGAAAGAAATGGTAAAATAGGATTTGAAATGGTGAAATTTTTAGATAAAAAAGTTTAGAAGATAAAAAAAAATTAACTAAATAAAAGTATTTAAGTAAATAATAAGAATAACTTAGATAAATATTATAAATATAAAGAATATTTTAGATTTTTAACAAATATTCCGGATACCCCTTATTAAATAATTGAAACCCGAACTCGGATTCGGAGTCGAAAACTCAGCTTCGTTAATAGTCGATCTCATCATCGTTACTATTCGAGTACCATTTATTCAGGCACTTGTTAAGTCGGATACCTCCACCCCGGATTACGGGTTAAAACGGCCACCCCTAGAGTCTACACCAAAAAGCGTCTTGATTTGTTTTATAATAAACGTGCAACATCATTTGGCATATATTCGCTATATAATATAACTATTTATAATGACAAAAAAAAAAAGAACAATACGATATTGATATAGGACATAGTATAGGAGTAGGAGTACCACAATAATCATTTCCTCCTCCATGATGGGAATGAAAAAACAATGCCCATGACCATGTGTAGTTACACAGTTTCGTTAGTTGTAGTAGAAGTGCAGAAATTTGGAACTACAGAGGTGCAAGCACAAAAAACACATATGATGAAGAAACCACTCTCTCTCTGCAGTAATCTCCGATTCCATCAATGGATTTATACATCAGTTCTATTAAAAAGGAGTTTGTGGGCATGGAGACACGCACAAATAACAATACCGGTAAACCCTAACCAAACTAAACCGAACCGGACAAAGATCACTTATCCAAACCGACCAGTCTTATGGTGGGTCAGTGTCGTTTGGCTTCGGGACTGGTTGGATTCTTTGGTAAGGCTTCCTGGTAAGAGTCTCTCCCCTGAGAGCAGCCACGTACCGGTCATTGGTGTCCTGCTTCTGCTTCAATTCATTGAGATATTCAGCAAGCCTCTCTTGATTAACTTTGCCCATCATCTGATCACACAGACATGCTTTAGAGACAACAGCCGATATATTATTACCAAAAGATTCAGATCACTGGCGCAGAAATTGCAACACATAATTAACAAACTCCCGACAAAGTCTTATGCCCTCTCTCTTCATGATCTATTCCTCAGTCTAATATTTAACCCACTTCTCTTATCAAGCAACTTCAAATGAGACTACAGTGTTAAGCTACTGAGTAAAAATATTATACTAAATGAACAACAGAACGGATCCATAAAAAGAGACGGTATACTGGCAAGTTTCTTGCTCTCAGCTAACACAAAACAGTGCATGATATCAACAACAGAATCTCCATAGGAACAACGCTAGAAGACGGCGACGCAATACAAAATCATGCCAAAACATAAACTGGAACGAGAAGAGCAAGCTGCCACTCTCTAGAGACACATTACCATGGGCAGTTTCCACACCAAGGTCTACAAGAAGTCATTCCAAAATCTCAAGCTGGTCCCAATTCCATCTCCCCAGAAGGACCATCAGGAGAAAAGCTTGATATCTAATCCTCAACAATGAGCAAGATCAGTAACAAGACCCAAATGGAAGAACTTGCAAGACAGTAACTATGTTCCTTATTCCCAGCAACTTCAAACACCGAGACATGATTCTCTTCAGGAGCAACAAACTCCAAATCCGCTCATAACTCAATACTCCCGACAAAGTTTCCCAGATCATCAAAATATCGGGAAGTCAGATACAATAGCAAATCTCGGTGCTCTAACGGAAAAACACACGCCACAGGACACTCACGAAATAATGCCACAACCCAGCGATGATCGCGAAATTACGAAACTTTCCCCAATAAAACTGCAGGAATCAGACAAGAAGTGATGTACGTACGAGGGATTCGGGTCGGGCCGATTGTCGGAGCCGGGCCTCGAGCTCCGGGTTGCGGGAGCTGGTAGCCTGCATGACGACGTAGCCGATGACGCCCGGAACGACGCCGCATAAGGTGGCGAATGTGAAGAAGAAGGATCTCGAGTCCCTCGTCTTCCTCACCATCCATCTCCATGTCTCGCTCTTCTCCCACAGGAACGACATCTCTCCCTCTCTCTGTCCCTCGGAGTTTCTAGGGTTCTTTGATTGCAGAGATTCGCATTTTGGCGAAAATGCAAGGAAGTCCCGTAATTCCACAAATTTATTGTTTGACCTTTATATTTTTAGCTCTGTTCCTGTTTTAACGTAAAGTCTATTTGTTACAAATTTAGCCCTCATTTCAATGAAAAGGAATAAATTGTTCCAAAAAGATATCTGTAATTATTTTTTGCTTTTGAAATAGTAACGTTAATTTTCAGAGATCACTGCTGTATTTCTATTTTAATGATCTAAATGAATAACTTTAAGATTTTTATTTGTTTGGGTGATAAATTATTTTTATAGTCAAATATACACCATTAGTTAAATCTAATTATTTTAAATAAATAACATAAACCAACTCTAATATTTGGAATAAAAACTTATCTTGAGAAGATTTTCATGTTCTTCTCTCTCCAAAGGCAGTAAAGATTTTGTGTGTGTGTGACAATGAATGTTAACAATGGAAGATGAATAACTCCAACAAAAAATGAATATGTGGAAAAACTGAAAATTATTTTTCTCTATCTTTTTTTTTGGTGGGCTCAAATTTAACTGATATATTATAAATAAATGTTTTATTAGTGTATTTTTATCGTCAATTTTTACACTCACTTTTCCTAAAAGGAATCATATATAAGAAAAATTATATATATATATATATATAATGACATCGTGAAATTTCTGGTTTTAAAAAAAACATAACTAAATAATATCCGATTTTCAAGTGAAAAAACAGAGGTACCGAGCAATCGAAGCACAGTCACAAAAAAATAATAATAAATAACAAGTTTCAGAATTTTTTAAAATATAAATTTAATTACAATATATACTTTGACTTCTTTTTTCACCCAAATATTAAAAAAAAAAAGAGAAACACAATGAATATATGAAAAATTTCAGGTTCGTCATCTAAAGATAAGTAGGTTTGAAGATGGAATCGAACAAAATGGATCAGAAGAAACTGTTCTGTTTCCCAGATCTTCTTGGGAAAGACGATCTCTTTAATCCTCTGAATCAGATGTTCATCCAAATGGCGTGCATCCTCGTCTTCTCCCAGTTGTTCTATCTTCTTCTTAAACCCTCTGGACAAGCTGGCCCTGTCTCCCAGATCCTTGTAAGTCTTTACCATGTTCTTCTCCCCTCTATTCACGTTTCCTCACGATTCCGCCCCTCGACTTTGTTACGTCGCATCTGGGTCCCTGTCATTGTAACTTGCTGCACACGAAACACCCTGTAACGATCTCGGTTTCTTCCGTTTTTTGGTCAGGCTGGAATCGTGCTGAGCCCTACCGTGTTGTCGAGGATCGATAAGGTCCAGGAGTTCTTCCTCCAGAGAGATTCGGCGCAATATTATTCCTTCTTCTCCTTCCTTTTGCGCACATCTTTCATGTTCTTGATCGGTCTGGAGGTGGATTCCGACTTCATGCGGAGGAATTTCAGAAGAGCTGCAGTGATAACCTTTAGCTGTTTCGTGAGTTGCAGTCTCATCTGCCTATGTTTCCTCTGGTTGGTGCTTCATCTCTTGAAGATAGAGGGCGACACGTTCACATTTGCCTTGGTTTTCCTCGTTACCTTGTCCAACACGGCATCTCCTGCAGTCATTTGTTCCATCGCCGATCTGAAGCTTCACACCTCTGAGATCGGACGTCTCGCCATAACCTGCGCTTTGTTCATGGAAATCGCCACCGTTGTCTTCTACACGGTGGTCGTTTCGGTTATTGCACGAACAGTGACCGAGGATCTCTTCCTTGTCGTGTTTCTAACCGGAGCCCTAATCCTGATCAACAAGTTCTTAGCTCCGTGGCTATCAAGGAGGAGTCCTGCAGAAAAATATCTCTCCAAGACCGAAACCCTAATCTTTTTCATCCTCGTTCTCGTCCTTTCCATAACCATCGAAGCCTTGGACATCAATTCCGCGGTTTCCATGTTCTTCGTCGGCCTTATGTTTCCACGACAAGGCAAATCCTACAGAACGTTGCTTCAGCGGCTAAGTTACCCTATTCACGAGTTCGTTCTTCCCGTTTACTTTGGATACATCGGTTTCAGATTCAGCCTCCAGACATTGCTCACGGCGAACAACTTCATCGTCCTCGTCCTTACAGTGATTCTAAGCTTAGCTGGGAAATTCATTGGAGTGTTTGGTGCTTGTTCTTACCAGAAGATTCCATGGAAATACTGGTCATTCTTATCTTCGATTCTCTCCATGAAAGGCCATGTCGGTCTTCTCCTACTCGATCTAAATCCAGACGCGAAGGTAACTCGCTGAACGCGTTGATTTCGGGTACCTAAGATAACGAGGTCTATGGTATCTTCTTCTTCTCATTTTCTCTGATTTTCTGCAGAAATGGCGAGGCCAAATCATTCATGATCTTATCGTGGCAGCGTTAGTGATAACGACGCTTATCAGCGGAGTTATAGCAGCTTTCTTGCTCAGATCGCGGCAGAGAAGCTTCGCCCAGGAGAGGACTTCGTTGGAATTCCACGAAACGGGGGAGGAGCTACGTGTTTTGTCCTGCGTTTATGGCCTTCTACACGCCCGTGGAGCGATCTCGCTCGTTTCTGCACTTAGCGGATCGTCTTCACCCTTCACTCCTCTTCTCTTGCATCTTGTACCTCTCCCAAAAAAACGTAAATCCGAGTTACTGTATCACGAACAAGACGATGGAGGAGGAGGAGGTGGAAAGTTCAACGAAGACGACGAATTCGCAACCAACGAAGGTCTAGAGATCAACGAATCCATCGATTCTTTCTCCAAAGATAGCAAGATCTTGATCCATCAGGTGAAACTGGTTTCTCAGGCTTTGAATATGCACGAAGAGATCTGTAACGCGACGGAAGATTTGCGGGTATCGATCATTTTCTTACCATTCCATAAACACCAGAGGATCGACGGGAAAACGACAAACGACGGGGAAGAGATCCGTCAGACAAATCACAAGGTTCTCAGACACGCGCCTTGCTCGGTTGGGATCTATGTGGACAGGAACAAAACAGGGTTTCAGCAACCTCACAGTTTCGGATCCGTACAACACGTAGCTGCGTTGTTCTTCGGGGGTCCTGATGATCGAGAGGCCTTGTCTCTATGCAAGTGGTTAATCAACAACTCTTTGATTCATCTTACTGTTATACAGTTCGTGTCCGAGAACTCGAAGGAAGAGAATCAGATCAAGAACACAATGCAAGAGAACAATGATGTCTTTATGGAGATTCTTGGGAGAGATGCAGAGGATGATCGAATCTTCTTAGAAGACTTCTATAACAGGTACTTTCTGAAAACACCAGAAACCCGAACAATGGGTTTGATCTGGTAAAACTTCATCATAACCGATCTTAACCGGGTATACATACTGTAACATGGGTACGTAAGGGTTTCGGTTTTCGAACTAACCCGGGCAATCTTGATCATTCAAGAACCGAACAGCTCTGCAGTTAAACCATTGATCCTTCCATGGCTAAGACACTTGGTTACAAATTTGTCTGAACAGATATGTAACAACAGGACGAGTAGGGTTCATAGAGAAGCATGTGAGCAACGGGTCGCAAATGGTAACGATTCTGAGAGAGATCGGGGAGATGTACTCACTGTACGTGGTGGGAAAAGGGCAAGGAGACCGTTCGATAACGGTTGAAATGAGCGACTGGGAAGAATGTCCGGAACTCGGTAAGGTCGGAGATTTTCTTGCATCCTCGGATCTTGATGTAAATGCATCTGTGTTAGTGGTTCAGAGACATAGACACTCACATACTAGTCTGTTAGGCGATTATTAGCAACTTCGATTTGCACATAAACACCATCTTGTAAAGAAAACATTTGTTGAAAGCAAACTTCGAGCAACATTTTCTCGGAAACCAGCATCTGTTGATTCAAATCGCGAAGAAGAAACTGAAATGAAAACCATTATACGCCATTCCTATACCGAAATCTACGATCAAAACGGCTATGAACTCGCTTTAAAGCTCGTTCGTGGATGAAAAAGATCTTGTTAAAAGTATTTCGGGACTCGTTCTCGGATTTCTTGCTCGAAGGACCGATAAGCCACTTTTGATCCAGAGTTCATTCAAACTGTTGAACCTTCAGCTTACCGTAAGCCTTGAGTCATAGATTCAGCAGGTTCAAGCAAATGAACAGATAGAAGAAGGACTTGGAAGAAAAGGGACTTCGATTACATCCAAAATACTTGCTAACTAGAGCATGTTGTGTTCCGAAAAACATTAACTTAACCACAAGAGTGTACTCCTAGTTTCACAGCCTGGTCTCGCTGTTCTTGTTCTTCCATTGTATCACAGAGACTCGAGCCTTTAGTCTCGGGAAGAAGCAACACGAATAACCCGAAAACAAACATAGAAAACCCGAAAATAGCGAACGAAAGTGATGGTAAGTTTGTGCCGAGGGACGTGAAAATCGGGCTGCAAACTCCTCCGACGACAAGGGCTTGCCGCATGATCGTTGTAGCCGAGTTCCTCACGCATGTCGGGAACATTTCCACCACGTAAACCGCCATCAGATTGAATCCGATCCTTGCGCTGAAGAAAGTGGCGAGCTCGAAGGCAAAAGCCGTCTTCGTTCTTCCAAGAACGCTTAATAGGAAACAGAGAATTCCGGATATTCCTCCCACGAGATTGCTCACGAGAACTGAGCTTCTTCTGCTGCAATTCTCTAGCAAGAACGGCGTGAGAACGAAAGAAGGCAATTCCACTAAGGCGTTTAGGGTTTCGCTGAGGTAGATATTGACGTTGATGTCTCTAGCAGCTAAGGGGACACCGTAATACGACATTCCCAACCCGAACATTATGACAGTAACGGCCAGAATCTGGCGAAAAGCCCATTTCCGGACAAACAAGTCCCTGATAGAGTATTTTCTCCCTCGTTCTAGGGTTTCTTGCTTGAGGGGTAACCGATTAAAGATAGATTCTGAGTGGGTTCCTCTGGCCGTTGATAGCTTTCTGAGCACATCAATGGCTTCGTCGTTCCTCCCTTGCAAATTCAGCCATCGGGGCGACTCGAGGACGAAGATGTAAAGGAAAACACAGTAGAGGGCGGCGGGAACGGAAGTGCAGAGGTACAAAACTCTCCATGAAGAATTTCGGACAGCATAAGCCAAACCAGACAACGATATAAACCCTAGTACGAAGAGGGTAAACGGAATCATACCAACTCGTGACCTCCATCTCGTCGAAACTCGCTCGGTGATCAGTACGATCACGTACGTACCGATCAGAGAGCGTGCAAATCCGATCAGGAATTTCAACGCCATGTAGACCCATATGTTTGGCACGAACGAGACAGCGATTCCAGCAAGGGACATTGACAAGGTTAAGGAGAAGAGCAGTTTCTTGCGTCCCAAGAAAGCGTCAGGGATCAGGACAAGAACCAGCCCTCCGAGGACAGAACCCACATACACAGCCGATGTAGGTAAACCTCTGAGTAAGGAGCTCGAACACTCGAGACCGAAGTCCGAAATGACCGATTTGCCCTTCGGTTCGTCCCAGTCCCAGGCTGATCGGGGAAGCTTGCAGAGGTCGGAGGCCGTCGGATCACAGATCGCACGGTCAACGCAGTGCCACGTGGGATAAGCATCGGTGAAGACAGTGATGAAGATCTGTTGAGAATCGAAGAAAAGGGCGATTCCGACTAGGACTGCCTGAAGGAGCTGAGAAAACCCAAAATCGGACAAGCTCTGCTCGATGATCATGTCGAATGTGAACTGAGGTTGAGAAGTGTTGTTTATGTCTTCATCGTACTGCGACAACAATGGCGATGCTGATGAATCCGCCATTGTTGCTGGTCTAAGCTCTTTGCTATGTTGAAAGTAAATTTGGGAAACTGAACATACCCATTCTCATTTTGTAATGATCGATTGATTTTGGTCTGAATCACGTCTTTTTCTTTCGATTTTTTTTGTATGGTGAGGGAAATCGATTAGAAGAAAGACAGATGTGATGTCAGACCTTTTTTTATGTGGTCAGAAAACGTGAACAGAAGAGCAGTTTTGTTTGTATTGTGGTGTGTATATATATATATATATATTTATTTAACCATTTTCTACAAGTGTACAATAATATTCTTAGAAAAAGTTCCATAAAAATACCATAATTTAATTAGATGTGCCGCGTAAATATCTCATTTTTTTTAAACTGACAAATAAATACCACAATTTTTCATTTTGTATCGAATCGATACCGATTTGGTGTCTATTTAGCACAAATTGATGTAATTATGGATTAACTATATCATCGATTTGGTATTTATTAGGAACAAATTTATCAAATTGGAATATTTATTTAACAATTTGAGAATTTAGTATTTATATTCGATACAAGATGAGGTATTTATTTAGCAAATTAGAAATTGAGACATTTATATGGTACACAAATTGTGATATATATATATATATATATATTTATTTATGGAATTTTTCTCATTTTCTTAATTCTTGTATTAAATCAAATGCATTCACCAACAAGTTGTTGTGTGACCCAAACTTGGGTGGCCTAACTCACCCTGAGTTCAAATCCAAGCGCGGGGAGGGGTATTCACCTGGGTTTTTCCGATCCTCTGTGAGATGTAGTCGGGCCAAAGGCCCGGTGAACTTTCGGATTATAAAAAAAAAAAAAAGTTGTTGTGTGGCATACATTAATAGCTTAGGCAAATTAATTCACACTCGGATAATTGGACTGATCGCGAGCCATTACACGAGAATCAAACCAAATATGAAAAAAATATATATAATATGATGCGATCCAAAAAGAAAAAAATAAATATATAATATCACATTAACACCGTTACTTAATTAACGATTTCCGAAAGAAAAAAAAAAACCTGTAGCCCACCTATTTGCCAAGCCGGATACCATATGTATTAAATTGCCACTTGGGAATTATAAATTGGTTTTGAAAACCAAAAATAAAAAACCCTAGCTACCACGTTTCATCCACTAACTCACTCATTTGGATTTAGATTTGGGTTGGATCGGATCACCCGGTCCATTTTTCAAAAAATCAATCCAATAAAATGATTCGATTATAATGAATATGTTAATATATATATATATATATATATAGTTCTGTTTCATAGGATCCCTCTTTTTAAAATTATTTTCTTTACATTTCATTTGTTTATTTCACAAATCTAACGTATGTAGCACATGAAAAATTAACAACAAGACTATGCACATCATATCTGTTTCTTTCTTTTTCTGCCATACATATATAATTAGCGGATCATATGGATACAAAAGTGAAAAACGTAAAATGGGATCACTCTAGACATCTCAGG